TCGAAAAAACAAGTTTGGTTTCAACACTAAAACCCGATATTTTTCTAACTCTTTAACAAAAAGGTTGGGCAGCTTTCACAAGGCCAAGTTTCATCTCCTTTCCTTGTTTTCTCTCGATTTACACAAAGCCCTTCTGAGGTGATAAAATTGATGCCCCGTATCAAAGCACTAAACTGTTAAAATTCTTGATACTCCTGTTTGAGGACAAACCTTTCATCATGTCTTCAGACAGTCGGTTCAAGTAGAGACCGAAGCTGACTTTTTCGGCATAAAATCGGGTTGCATTCTGCAAAATAGATGAATACACTCTTAGTCGTCCTTCGTGCAAACTTAACTCGTTCTTTTTAAATTTCGTTTCTAGTTTAACCCTTTTTCTGGATTTAATTTTATAAGGTGCCAAGCGCAGCGTGAAATATCCGGACAGCGCGGTTCAGTAATTAATTAAATACAACTTTACCACCAAAGAGGTTTTCTCGAAGATTCCTTCTCAAATGTTAGCCCTAGCCCTTTCTGCTCTCTCTTGGTATGGCTTTCTAATGAAGTTACCCCTATAAGTACATATCAACGATTTTAAAACTAAATTCTAACGAATACAACATAAAGCAAGTTAACTACTCTTCTCCAGTATCGAATTGACACCGCGTGAGCCAAACCTATCACATGATCTGAATTTTCCTCGTTTTTCATCAATTCACTGCGGGCTAAATAACTCTCTCATCGGCTATGTGTTTGTGATGTATCTACTGCCGAAGAAGTCTTTCATTGTCACTCTCCACAGCTTGTAAGCGATTTTAAACCCATTGTACCTCATCGTAGTTCGTTCTACAATTCTACCCAAATTTTTCACGCCCAGTAGCATGGACCCCTGTAATGGCTTAAAAACATATGCTGCTTCACAAATGTCTTTTATTTTGTAGCTTCTCTCACTCTACATTTCAAAGTCTATCCTATACTCATCGCTCATTAGATGAGGACACCCCCATGTATTAATTTCACAATGTGATGCGCTGATTTGCGACATGTGTTTTAGTCGGAAATCTCTATTTGGGTACATTTGACCGACCAAGCCGATAACCATATTTTATGGTGTGGTAATTAATTTAGTTATTTGGATTTCCATACCTAAAATTACTCACTTAGTTAGTATCAAACACGTTTCAGCCAAATAATAGTTTTAAGCATGTTTGGAACGCCATCTGAATCATTCGACTTTTTGAACTCTAAAAAGTTGCATTGATTACACGCTGGCTCTTTGTTTAAGCCTTCTTTACTTACTGCTCCCACTTAAGTCTCCGAGAAAGACCTCATTAATATATAGAT